AAACAAAGATTCCAGCGAAATAAGCAAGAAAAAAACGAGGGAAAACAAGAAGTGAAAGTGAAGAGAATAAAGGATGAGGAAAGGTAAAATTAAAAGGCTATGAGGGAGAGAGAGGGGAAGAGAGAGTGACAGAGAGGGAGGGAGGGAGGGAGGGAGGGAGAGAGAGAGAGAGAGAGAGAGAGAGAGAGAGAGAGAGAGAGAGAGAGAGAGAGAGAGAGAGAGAGAGAGAGAGAGAGAGAGAGAGAGAGAGAGAGAGAGAGAGACAGAGAGAGAGAGACAAAGAGAGAGAGAGAGACAAAGAGAGAGAGAGAGAGACAAAGAGAGAGAGAGAGAGACAAAGAGAGAGAGAGAGAGAGACAAAGAGAGAGAGAGAGAGAGAGAGAGAGAGAGAGAGAGAGAGAGAGAGAGAGAGAGAGAGAGAGAGAGAGAGAGAGAGAGAGAGAGAGAGAGAGAGTGACAAAGAGAGAGAGAGACAGAGAGGGAGGGAGGGAGAGAGAGAGAGTGACAAAGAGAGAGAGGAATAAAGAAAGAAAGGAAAAGAGAGTGAAAGAGTGAAAGGGAGAGAAAGGGAGATGGAGGGAGGGGGAGATAGAGAGAGAGAGAGAGAGAGACGAGAGAGAGAGAGAGAGAGAGAGAGAGAGAGAGAGAGAGAGAGAGAGAGAGAGAGAGAGAGAGAGAGAGAGAGAGAGGGAGGGAGGGAGGGAGGGAGGGGGGGAGGGGGGCGGGGAGAAAGTAAGAGAAAACGAAAATGAATGAATATGGCGAGTCCAACACAAGGCAGAAATCAAGATCGACGGATGAATTTAAATTGTTTTACTCGTACCCCATCTTTCGGCCAAGAAAGGTCAACGCTTTGCATCCGTCGAGGCACAACTTCCCGACTTGGAGTCTTCTGATAAGGCATTTGTACTGGGCGGTGCGTCGGGAGGGAAAGGAAGGAAGGAGGAAGGAAGGGAGCGGGGGGACAGAGAGGAGAGCGTCTCTCAGGCACCAGCAGGTGAAGTGGCACCATATACGGCCCTGCCTCTCGCTTGCAGTGGGCGCCACAACACAGCGTAGCACATCAGTGTCAGGATTAAAAGCGACACAGTTTGGCACAGGGACTACAATCACCTCAAGATACACGAGAATGCCTGCTAAATCCAAAACTACAAGAAAAGTCTTGGGTCAGCGATTGCAAATCATATATAAGTATACATGAAACTGCAGGCGAGGGTGTAGGGCTCCAGGGTTTACTACACTTCAGTCGTGCGGCCAGGCGCAATCGGGTTGGCTTCGAACCGTAATCAGCATGAAGCGCGAGAGTCTGAGCCGTGCTTCTTCCCTTTTCATGATTCAGCAAAAAGGAAAACATAAACGCAGAGGAGAAACTTCGTAGAAACAAAAAGACTTCAGTACCTATAATTCACTGTTGTTTTAAAAATATACCCAATCTGCCTATGCGTGCTTATCGTAAATGCGTTATTTATCTTAGAGGTTTGTAAAAGATACATCAAAATTCTTATTCATATCTGTGGGTTGTGATAATGAAGTGATTATAATAATGACGTGAGTTGTGAATCTCATGTTGTGGTGATAATTAAGTGATAATATTAAACATACTGCCTTTTGTGTGATATGTTACACCATGTGAAATAGAGAAGGTTATTTTAGTTTATATTACTGTGTAGCATATCACCTATATGAAAGAGTGAGATTCTCTGTACGATTTATAGAGTACATTATTTTATTTTGTCTCTGTAGTCACACGTCTGGCAGTAACACTCTTAGACGGAGCCTGGCGTGTGGTGCAGAGGAACATGAAGAGTTCGTTTTATTTTGGTCAGAGCTGGTTTCCAATGACCCTACTTTAGGTTTCATCGGTGTTTTATTCGGCCTCAAGCATCATAGAGAAACATCAAGCACCCTCTTCACATTTCCGTTCGCTAGTTGCGGCCCCGCATCGTCGAAACGGATAAGGATAAAGATTGGAAATGCCCATAGTTTTCCGTTTTGTTAAGATATACAAACTTGCAGAAAATCCGCGAAGACAATTACATCATGTTGGATTACGAATAAAACTCACATTTCAGTATCCACAAAAATGTAAATAATATGCACAATAGTCAGACCAATTACATATTTCATAATAATTACGACATTACGAAATTCTATGAACGATTAGTTAGTAATATGATAACCATAAAGACAATGAGAGGTCAAATTGCAAAACGAAAAATAAATCGAACTTGGCACTTCCTTGTGAATGGTGACAAATGGCGGTGTATTTGCCTTATCTTAAGATTACATAATACTATTATGTATTACTCGTATTTGTTACTACATCCCGAATAAGCTAACTTACAGGAAACACTTTGCTACTGAACATCATCCACAACCGGTAGTCCAGTGCAAAAGGGCCAAAGGCTGCATTAAGTTGTGCCAGCATGATTAATACAGAATTATCTATACATACACATACACACACACACACACACACACACACACACATATATATATATATATATATATATATATATATATATATATATATATATATATATATATACAGATATGTGTATACATACATATGCACATATTTATACATATTTAAACACACACACACACACACACACACACACTATCACACACTATACTATACTACTACTACACACACACTATATATATATATATATATATATATATACATATACATATACATATACATATACATATACATATACATATACATATACATATACATATACATATACATATACATATACATATACCTATACCTATACCTATATATATATATATATATATATATATATATATATATATATATATATATATATATATATATATATATATATACCGAATGCAGAAATAACAAAAAGCTTGTTGATTTCAAAACAATAAATCAAAATTGCAACTACTGAAACTGATCATTTTACAGTTCATACAGTACTTCCTAACAAGGAAAATGCCGGTCTTCTATAAAAATGAAAGCAGTGAGTTACTTCTGGTTATTATAAATAATAAAATAAAGTGTTGTGTATACATGCCCTTCGATACTGTATGTGAATTTAGGTTATTTGCAAACTAACTGCGCAGGTCACACACTGGCCGACAAATACATATCCCTGAACAGAAGCTTATTTCATTTCAATCTTAGTTTAGCTCGGTTTCGTTTACCTTGGATTAGGTGAACCTAGCCTAACATTACTTGTAAGTTAAATGCAAGTTCCAGCCGACTTGTAAAGACCCTGTGTACAGTCAGAAAAAATAAGTATGGTTACTCTTTGCACAATATGAAAAATCGACAAAGTGGTACGGAACAGCGAGGTAAGGTAATTAGCACCGTAATCAGGTGTTAACAGAGAGAAGCGTTTATTTCCTCATTGAACACAGCTAAAGGTAACGATATTTTTTTTCTGACTGTACAATAGCGAATATGTGAAGTGATCGAATCTTCAGAAGTAAAATGTCAGTCAATTCTAAGATATTTGATCGGATCGGATGTGTCCGTGTGGCACAATGCTTCTAGTTTTATAAGGTTTTAAATGTTATCTTTTACTTCTATCACACAAAGAGAGAACCCGTTTAAAAGTTAATTTCTTCCTGTGAATCACCGCAATTTTATCTGCAATTTACCTTTTGACCACATTAGACTGGATCAAACATGAAATTGCTGTAAGACCTCATTCAAGAATTCAATATCTTATAGATACTCTTCACCGAATCCGAGATAGTAATTTGTACATAATTTCAGTACCTTGGTACTTTGATCAGATATAAATTAACCCAACACTAATTCAATCTTGCTGTAATCCTTCAGCGTTCACCGTCGGCATCACCATAAAGCAGGCCTGTCACTTCTCTAGCAACTGTAAGCGTCCTCAGCGACTGCCACGGCGATGCTGCCATTGGCGCAGAAAACACGTACCTGTAACAAAAAAGTACATAAGTTAGATTGACGTAAGAAAGGAAATACAAAATACAGTGAATAACATTTTACATGTGGAATCTGTAATCTAAACAATAAAATCCGACTTCCTTTTTAAATAAATATATATGAAATAACCTGATAAATAGGTAAGTGACTAATAAGACTAAGATAGGAAATTTAAGAAATACGCATAAAGCATTTAAAGAATAAATGAAACTGAAAACCGGACGCCGGGGCCACATTAGTGAGGCTAGTTAGTCGCCAGGGCGACCTGCAGCGTAGATGCATATGTATATGTATATATATATATGTATATATATATATATATATATATATATATATATATATATATATATATATGTATATATATATATATATATATATATATA